AGAGAGGGAGAGAACACAGATCTGTCGATCACTGAAACAGAGAGAGAGGGAGAGACACAGATCTGTCGATCACTGAAACAGAGATGAGAGAGGGAGAGACACAGATCTGTCGATCACTGAAACAGAGAGGGGGGGGGGGGATGAGACACAGATCTGTCGATCACTGAGACAGAGAGAGAGGGAGAGACACAGATCTGTCGATCACTGAAACAGAGAGAGGGGGAGAGACACAGATCTGTCGATCACTGAAACAGAGAGAGAGGGAGAGACACAGATCTGTCGATCACTGAAACAGAGAGAGAGGGAGAGACACAGATCTGTCGATCACTGAAACAGAGAGAGAGGAGGAGAGACACAGATCTGTCGATCACTGAAACAGAGAGAGGGGAGAGACACAGATCTGTCGATCACTGAAACAGAGACGGGGGGAGAGACACAGATCTGTCGATCACAGAAACAGAGAGAGGGGAGAGAGAGACAGATTTGTCGATCACTGAAACAGAGAGAGGGGAGAGACCACAGATCTGTCGATCACTGAAACAGAGAGAGGGGGGGAGGAGAGACACAGATCTGTCGATCACTGAAACAGAGAGAGGGGAGAGACACAGATCTGTCGATCACTGAAACAGAGACGGGGGGAGAGACACAGATCTGTCGATCACTGAAACAGAGAGAGGGGAGAGAGACAGATTTGTCGATCACTGAAACAGAGAGGGGGGAGAGACACAGATCTGTCGATCACTGAAACAGAGAGGGGGGGAGAGACACAGATCTGTCGATCACTGAAACAGAGAGAAGGGGAGAGACACAGATCTGTCGATCACTGAAACAGAGAGAGGGGGAGAGACACAGATCTGTCGATCACTGAAACAGAGAGAGAGGGAGAGACACAGATCTGTCGATCACTGAAACAGAGAGAGGGAGAGACACAGATCTGTCGATCACTGAAACAGAGAGAGAGGGAGAGACACAGATCTGTCGATCACTGAAACAGAGAGAGAGAGGGAGAGACACAGATCTGTCGATCACTGAAACAGAGAGGGGGAGAGACACAGATCTGTCGATCACTGAAACAGAGAGACAGGGAGAGACACAGATCTGTCGATCACTGAAACAGAGACGGGGGGAGAGACACAGATCTGTCGATCACTGAAACAGAGAGAGGGGAGAGACACAGATCTGTCGATCACTGAAACAGAGAGAGGGGAGAGACACAGATCTGTCGATCACTGAAACAGAGAGAGGGGAGAGACACAGATCTGTCGATCACTGAAACAGAGAGACGGGGGGAGAGACACAGATCTGTCGATCACTGAAACAGAGAGAGGGGGAGAGACACAGATCTGTCGATCACTGAAACAGAGATGGGGGGAGAGGCACAGATCTGTCGATCACTGAAACAGAGAGAGGGAGAGAGAGACAGATATGTCGATCACTGAAACAGAGAGAGGGAGAGAGACACAGATCTGTCGATCACTGAAACAGAGAGAGGGGGAGAGACACAGATCTGTCGATCACTGAAACAGAGAGAGGGAGAGACACAGATCTGTCGATCACTGAAACAGAGAGAGAGGGAGAGACACAGATCTGTCGATCACTGAACAGAGAGAGGGAGAGACACAGATCTGTCGATCACTGAAACAGAGAGAGGGAGAGACACAGATCTGTCGATCACTGAAACAGAGAGAGGGGAGAGACACAGATCTGTCGATCACTGAAACAGAGAGAGGGAGAGACACAGATCTGTCGATCACTGAAACAGAGAGAGGGAGAGACACAGATCTGTCGATCACTGAAACAGAGAGAGGGAGAGAGACACAGATCTGTCGATCACTGAAACAGAGAGAGAGAGGGAGAGACACAGATCTGTCGATCACTGAAACAGAGAGGGGGAGAGACACAGATCTGTCGATCACTGAGACAGAGAGAGAGGGAGAGACACAGATCTGTCGATCACTGAAACAGAGAGAGGGGAGAGACACAGATCTGTCGATCACTGAAACAGAGAGAGAGGGAGAGACACAGATCTGTCGATCACTGAAACAGAGAGAGAGAGGGAGAGACACAGATCTGTCGATCACTGAAACAGAGAGGGGGAGAGACACAGATCTGTCGATCACTGAAACAGAGAGACAGGGAGAGACACAGATCTGTCGATCACTGAAACAGAGACGGGGGGAGAGACACAGATCTGTCGATCACTCAAACAGAGAGAGGGGAGAGACACAGATCTGTCGATCACTGAAACAGAGAGAGGGGAGAGACACAGATCTGTCGATCACTGAAACAGAGAGAGGGGAGAGACACAGATCTGTCGATCACTGAAACAGAGAGACGGGGGGAGAGACACAGATCTGTCGATCACTGAAACAGAGAGAGGGGGAGAGACACAGATCTGTCGATCACTGAAACAGAGATGGGGGGAGAGGCACAGATCTGTCGATCACTGAAACAGAGAGAGGGAGAGAGAGACATATATGTCGATCACTGAAACAGAGAGAGGGAGGAGAGACAAGATCTGTCGATCACTGAAACAGAGAGAGGGGGAGAGACACAGATCTGTCGATCACTGAAACAGAGAGAGGGAGAGACACAGATCTGTCGATCACTGAAACAGAGAGAGAGGGAGAGACACAGATCTGTCGATCACTGAAACAGAGAGAGAGGGAGAGACACAGATCTGTCGATCACTGAAACAGAGAGAGGGAGAGACACAGATCTGTCGATCACTGAAACAGAGAGAGGGGAGAGACACAGATCTGTCGATCACTGAAACAGAGAGAGGGAGAGAAACAGATCTGTCGATCACTGAAACAGAGAGAGGGAGAGACACAGATCTGTCGATCACTGAAACAGAGAGAGAGAGGGAGAGACACAGATCTGTCGATCACTGAAACAGAGAGGGGGGGGGGGGGAGAGACACAGATCTGTCGATCACTGAAACAGAGAGAGGGGGAGAGACACAGATCTGTCGATCACTGAAACAGAGAGAGAGGGAGAGACACAGATCTGTCGATCACTGAAACAGAGAGAGGGGAGAGACACAGATCTGTCGATCACTGAAACAGAGACGGGGGGAGAGACACAGATCTGTCGATCACTGAAACAGAGAGAGGGGAGAGAGACAGATTTGTCGATCACTGAAACAGAGAGAGGGGGGGAGAGAGACACAGATCTGTCGATCACTGAAACAGAGAGAGGGGAGAGACACAGATCTGTCGATCACTGAAACAGAGACGGGGGGAGAGACACAGATCTGTCGATCACTGAAACAGAGAGAGGGGAGAGAGACAGATTTGTCGATCACTGAAACAGAGAGGGGGGAGAGACACAGATCTGTCGATCACTGAAACAGAGAGGGGGGGAGAGACACAGATCTGTCGATCACTGAAACAGAGAGAAGGGGAGAGACACAGATCTGTCGATCACTGAAACAGAGAGAGGGGGAGAGACACAGATCTGTCGATCACTGAAACAGAGAGAGAGGGAGAGACACAGATCTGTCGATCACTGAAACAGAGAGAGAGGGGGAGACACAGATCTGTCGATCACTGAAACAGAGAGGAGAGAGGGAGAGACACAGATCTGTCGATCACTGAAACAGAGACGGGGGAGAGACACAGATCTGTCGATCACTGAAACAGAGACGGGGGGGAAGACACAGATCTGTCGATCACTGAAACAGAGAGAGAGGGAGAGACACAGATCTGTCGATCACTGAAACAGAGAGACGGGAGAGACACAGATCTGTCGATCACTGAAACAGAGAGAGGGGAGAGACACAGATCTGTCGATCACTGAAACAGAGACGGGGGGAGAGACACAGATCTGTCGATCACTGAAACAGAGACGGGGGAGAGACACAAATCTGTCGATCACTGAAACAGAGACGGGGGGGAGAGACACAGATCTGTCGATCACTGAACAGAGACGGGGGGAGAGACACAGATCTGTCGATCACTGAAACAGAGAGAGGGAGAGACACAGATCTGTCGATCACTGAAACAGAGGAGAGGGAGAGAGACACAGATCTGTCGATCACTGAAACAGAGACGAGGGGAGAGACACAGATATGTCGATCACTGAAACAGAGAGAGAGGGAGAGACACAGATCTGTCGATCACTGAAACAGAGACGGGGGGAGAGACACAGATCTGTCGATCACTGAAACAGAGAGAGGGAGAGACACAGATCTGTCGATCACTGAAACAGAGAGAGAGGGAGAGACACAGATCTGTCGATCACTGAAACGAGAGACGGGAGAGACACAGATCTGTCGATCACTGAAACAGAGAGCGGGGAGAGACACAGATCTGTCGATCACTGAAACAGAGAGGGGGGAGAGACACAGATCTGTCGATCACTGAAACAGAGACGGGGGGGAGAGACACAAATATGTCGATCACTGAAACAGAGACGGGGGGAGAGACACAGATCTGTCGATCACTGAAACAGAGACGGGGGGAGAGACACAGATCTGTCGATCACTGAAACAGAGAGAGGGAGAGACACAGATCTGTCGATCACTGAAACAGAGAGAGAGGAGAGACACAGATCTGTCGATCACTGAAACAGAGACGAGGGGAGGAGACACAGATCTGTCGATCACTGAAACAGAGAGAGGGGGAGAGACACAGATATGTCGATCACTGAAACAGAGAGAGAGGGAGAGACACAGATCTGTCGATCACTGAAACAGAGATGGGGGGAGAGAGACACAGATCTGTCGATCACTGAAACAGAGAGGAGAGGCACAGATCTGTCGATCACTGAAACAGAGACGGGGGGAGAGACACAGATCTGTCGATCACTGAAACAGAGACGGGGGGGAGAGACACAGATCTGTCGATCACTGAAACAGAGAGGAGAGACACAGATCTGTCGAGCAAGACTGGCCGTCTTCCAGGTCTGCAATAAACGCATCTTGAGTTTGTCTTCGGCTGTAAGCTCGTCGCTAGGTGGTCTCCTGACGACGGCTCCCCTCCCGTGTCCGTGTGCAGGCCGCGCGGCCCGAACGGGCATCCCCGGCTCGATCCGTGGAGGAGGGTGGGGGTACGTGGGGTGGCGACGGTGGTGGTAACCGTGGTGGAGCTGGAGGTGGAGGAGGAGGTGGAGGAGGAGGAGGAGGAGGTGGTGGACGAGCAAATCGGAGGCCTCGATGGACCTGCTCGGAGTGGCCCCGTGACGGACGCCGCTCGCGATGGACATTGTCGACGAGAATGAGGCTCTCAGCCGCTTCTTCGAGAGGACGGGAGCCGGTGAGTGAGAGCGGTCGGGGCGGGCGGTGGACACGGTTGGGTTCCACGATTGCGAGCGCGAGAGAGCGAGAGCGAGAGAGCGAGCGGCGGATTCACGGTGGCCGCGATGGAGACGCGGCCACCGGTTCACGCGTGGGTGCCCACGTTTTGAGGCTTCGAGGGCCCCGTTCGCCCGCTGTTTTGTGGCCGTGTCGGAGAAGGCGGGCTGCGCGTTCAGTCTGAGTCTCTGGTGTGCGTCTATGGGTGTCGAAGTCTGTGGGTCTCTGTGCACGTCTGTGGGTCTCTGTGAAAGTCTGTGGGTCTCTGTGTAAGTCGGTGGGTCTCTGTGTAAGTCGGTGGGTCTCTGTGTAAGTCTGTGGGTCTCTATGTAAGTATGTGCGTCTCTGTGTAAGTCGGTGGGTCTCTGTGTAAGTCTGTGGGTCTCTGTGTAAGTCTGTGTAAGTCTGTGGGTCTCTGTGTGAGTCTGTGGGTCTCTGTGTAAGTCTGTGTAAGTCTGTGGGTCTCTGTGTAAGTCTGTGGGTCTCTGTGTGAGTCTGTGGGTCTCTGTGTAAGTCTGTGTAAGTCTGTGGGTCTCTGTGTAATTTGTGTAAGTATGTGGGTCTCTGTGTGAGTCTATGGGTCTCTGTGTAAGTCTGTGGGTCTCTGTGTGAGTCTGTGGGTCTCTGTGTAAGTCTGTGGGTCTCTGTGTGAGTCTGTGGGTCTCTGTGTAAGTCTGTGTAAGTCTGTGGGTCTCTGTGTAAGTCTGTGGGTCTCTGTGTAAGTCTGTGTAAGTATGTGGGTCTCTGTGTGAGTCTATGGGTCTCTGTGTAAGTCTGTGGGTCTCTATGTAAGTCTGTGGGTCTCTGTGTAAGTCTGTGGGTCTCTATGTAAGTCTGTGGGTCTCGTTGGCCTGCGCGATGCGGGTGAACCCACAGGCAACACGGGGAGGGCTCCCCCAATGGCTTGGCCTGGCGGTCGTTGGCTTCGACTCACGGAGACCCCCAAACCCTCCCCCCCCAGCAGTGGTAACAGCGGTCAGCGTACGGCCGTGTTTGGAAGCCGGGGAGGGAATCATTGGAGTCGATGCGAGAATGTGTTCCTCCTCCTCCTCCTGGCAGCGAGCGAGCGAGCGGTCAATAGCTCTAAGTGGTGAAACTGCTCCGTCATGTTGACTCAAACCATTAGGGGCCCTTGATAATCTCATAAATACTGACGCTGGCGTTCGATATCAACCGCTGAGCGCGACATTTATTTGTTTAGGCAGGAGGCGAAAAGTGAGTTATGCATCTGCGGTGGCTCTGCGAGTTTTGTGAGCTCACGTGAACTCTCACTCACCCACTGACTCACTCATCCACTCGCTCACTCACCCACTGACTCACCCATCCACTTGCTCATACACTCACTCGTCCACTGATTCACCCATCCACTCGCTCATAGACTCACTCGTCCACTTACTCACCCACTCACTCACTCACTCATCCACTCACTCACTCACTCATCCACTCACTCACTCACTCATCCACTCACTCATCCACTCACTCATCCACTCGCTCATCCACTTACTCACCCACTCACTCACCCACTCATTCACTCATCCACTCACTGATCCACCTACTCATCCACTCATCCACTTACTCGTCCACTCACTCATCCACTCACTCGTCCACTCACTCATCCACTCACTCGTCCACTCACTCATCCACTCACTCATCCACTCACTCACTCACTCACCCACTCACTCACCCACTCACTCACCCACTTATTCATCCACTTACTGATCTACCTACTCATTCACTTACGCACCCACTCAATCAACCACTCATTCATCCACTCACTCGTCCACCTACTCCCCCACTGACTCACCCACTCACCCACTCACCCACTCACCATCTCACCCACTTACCCACTCACCACCACACCCACCACACTGCTGGTTGCCCGACTTCTCTCTCTCTCTCCGGTTCTTCCCTCGCACTGCTCCACTGTGGAGTTCCCTCCTCCTCCTCCCGTCACCACCACCATCACCACCACCACCATCACCACCATCACCACCACCACCGCTGCAGTCTCCATCGCGACACTCCGCCCGAACTCTGCTCGCGTCCTCGCTGAGCTCCACCTCGCTCCATCTCCCCGGTGGAAGTGCCCTCTCTCTCTCCCCCGAGTTGTTTCCCTACTTTGGCTGCCACTCCGGCGTTAGCCTCAACCGTCATCATCATCAACGTCATCGTCATCATCATCGTCATCATCATCGTCATCATCATCATCGTCATCAACACAACCACGTGTACCCTGGTGGAACGAGTGGACTGTTCCACTCAGCTACCCCAACACAACCACGTGTACTCTGGTGGAGCAAGCAGACTGCTCCACTCAGCTACCCCGATACAACCACGTGTACCCTGGTGGAGCGAGTGGACTGCTCCACTCAGCTACCCCAACACAACCACGTGTACTCTGGTGGAGCAAGCGGACTGCTCCACTCAGCTACCCCGACACAACCACGTGTACCCTGGTGGAGCGAGTGGACTGCTCCACTCAGCTACCCCAACACAACCACGTGTACTCTGGTGGAGCAAGCGGACTGCTCCACTCAGCTACCCCGATACAACCACGTGTACCCTGGTGGAGCGAGTGGACTGCTCCACTCAGCTACCACCACAAGTGCCGTGGAACGGCTCACAACGCTATCACGATAGCGAACGTCACTCTGCTGCTGCTGCTGTATTTTTTGTCCAAACGCCGTTTGGAGAGTGGACGCAGGGCGCAGCGTGGAGATTTGCGTTGCGGCTTCAGCGATGCGTGTGCTCCGTGTGAGATGGCCCATCTCGACTGGCTCCAGGCCTCAGCAGAGTAAGAAAAACTGACTAACTAACTCACTAACCTTAACTCTTTTTTTTAAGTATGAAAAGTAAGAATAGAGGTTTTTTTTTACCCCTCTGAGCAATAAAACGGGAGTTGTGTTAAGATGTTCAGACACCAAAATAGAAACCTTTTTGCAAGAAACCACACACAGTACTTGCAGACAAAAACACGCTCTGATAATACGTGAATTATATTGTTGGTTATTTCGGTAAAGTCACGTAGAAGGGAAATAATAAAAAAATAAGAATATAAAACAATAAAATCCTCACGACGTTTCGATTGCAACACAAGCAACCATTCACAGGTGTGAAAACCACAGCAAGAACATTTGAAACAAGTGCACGGCTGTGCGCACGCACGCGGGCACGCACGCGGGCACGCACGCACGCACGCGGGCACGCACGCACGCGGGCACGCACGCACGCGGGCACGCACGCACGCACGCGGGCACGCACGCACGCACGCGGGCACGCACGCACGCGGGCACACACGCGGGCACGCACGCACGCGGGCACGCACGCACGCGGGCACGCACGCACGCGGGCACGCACGCACGCGGGCACGCACGCACGCGGGCTGGCGGGTGGGAAAAGCCACCATCGATGGGAACTTCCCGTGCCGACCCTTCAGAGCCCAGTCGGTCGATCGATCGATCGGACTGATCAGACCGTTGCGTTCCGGCCGTTTTGGACGAGCACCTGCTCCGTCGATTTGACGACCACCGGTTTCGCCGATTAGCCAACTTGGGAGTTCCCCGATCCCCCCCACCGCCCCGGCAAACACAACTTAAACTCTGGACCCGCTGCAAAGCGCGCTGGGTGTTGCTCGCGGTCAAACGACGACCGCACAGAACCACGGCGGATCGGGAATCAAGAACAACGATGACGTCTGGTAGTAGGGTTTTACCCTTTCAGCTGGTACAAAAACTGACACCTTTATACAAGGCATCATGTTTGCAATAACCACAACACAAGCAGTCAAAATGCAAACAAAAAGAAAACAACTCTGATAGTTTTGTTTGGGTCTCTATGTGAGTCTATGGGTCTCTACGTGAGTCTATGGGTCTCTATGTGAATCTATGGGTCTCTATGTGAGTATATTAGTCTCTATGTGAGTCTATGGGTCTCTATGTGAGTCTGTGGGTCTCTATGTGAATCTATGGGTCTCTATGTGGATCTATGGGTCTCTATGTGAGTCTATGGGTGTCTATGTGAGTCTATGGGTCTCTATGTGAGTCTATGGGTCTCTATGTAAATCTATGGGTCTCTGTGTGAGTCTATGGGTCTCTATGTGAGTCTATGGGTCTCTATGTGAGTCTGTGGGTCTCTATGTGAGTCTATGGCTACGTGAGTCTATGGGTCTCTATGTAAGTCTATGGGTCTCTATGCGAGTCTATGGGTCTCTATATGAGTCTATGGGTCTCTATGTGAGTCTATGGGTCTCTATGTGAGTCTATGGCAACGTGAGTCTACGGGTCTCTATGCGAGTCTATGGGTCTCAGACGGAGCCGAACCCAATTGATCGGCTGCGGGCTCGCGGCTTTCTGTCCGTTTCGGGACATCTACCTGGCGCGGTGGTGCTGGTTTGTAGCAAACGTCACGTGCACTGGGAGAGAGAGAGAGGCGGGGAGAGAAAGGCGGCCGGGCGGGCGTGGTCCTGGACCCCCCCCCCCCCTTCACCGCACAGGTGCGACGTCCCCGGCCTTCACAGATGCTGGTTCAACAGCTCTGGCTCCTGCGTGGGTGATCTTGGGGAGTGGGAGTTGTGTGTGTGCGGCATGAGTATCGTGGACGTGTGTACACGCGCGTGTGTGTGTCATGATTGCTGTGAACGTGTGCACGTGTGTGTGTGTGCGGCTTGAGTGTTGTGAACGTGTGTGTGTGTGTCATGAGTGTCGTGAACGTGTGTACGTGTGTGTGTGTACGTGTGTGTGTGGCATGAGTGTCGTGAACGTGTGTACACGCGTGTGTACGTGTGTGTGCGGCATGAGTGTCGTGGACGTGTGTGTGTGTGTGTCATGAGTGTCGTGGACGTGTGTGTGTGCGGCATGAGTGTCGTGTACGTGTGTACGTGTGTGTGTGTGTCATGAGTGTCGTGTACGTGTGTGTGTGTGCGGCATGAGTGTATAGCTAAGTCTCTAGGGGGGATCTTTGTCC